GAGGGCAGAGTCTAAGCCTGAAATTCTCAGGGTTTATTAGTGGTTTGGCCATATTGGCTGCTCAAAAAAGTTTGATGAATAAATAAAAGGACAATGAACAAATGAATTTCTTAATAATTCAAGCCTTGATTAACTCTCATCTCTATCTCCCAAAGCAAACTATTAAGTTCCTGCTTCACTCATCTTAGTAACTTTTACTGAGTCCAGCCCCTTCACCCCCAAGTTCTGTACAAGGTAACTTCTTGTTCTAGTTACCTAGTGCCACTCTGACAAGAATATACCACAAATGGGCTGGCCTTAAAAAACAGGAGTTTATTCTTACAATTCGGAGGCTTTATGTCCAAGTTCAAAGTGCCAGGCTCTAGGCACTGGGTGAAAGCCCCTCAACCTTGGGGTCCAGCTCTGCCTCCTGCTCCCGGCCCACTGGAGCTAGCGGCGTTTCTTCACTCAGACAACTGCTGGCTGCTGAGGCTGAGAAGCCCCAAGGTTGACAAATAAAAAGGGCACAGTACCGATGTTACCAAACCACATGGCAGGCCATTAACTTAAGTCCACTGTAAGTCCCAAGGTCTGCAGAGCATAGCAGGCTGCTGAGCAATGACATGGCTACATGCAGGGTCCAAGCGTGCCATAGGCTAGAGACCATTCCCAAGGCTTCTCCTTATATACAGGAAGCAGACCATGTCCCAAAGGCTGCTTGTAGTAGATCCCACCATGGAGTTGACTGCCACTCTCATCATGGGGAATAACTACCACCAGCTGCCCAGCCACTCAACCAGGTCCAGCCAAGTTGACACAAAAACATAACCACCACAGTTCTCAATATGTATTGTTGAACTGAACTGTCTCAACAGCATTCCCTTTAGCATGATGTACCCAGAGTGATCATACCTTTACCAGAACTACCAATGGTCAAAGATCCTTTGCTATAAAATAACCTGATGCCACAAGACTCAAGTTTCCTTTCATAAGGATTTAATTCTAACTAACTTGATAATGTATAAACTGCTTCAAGTTTATTTATGAAAGAAGCTTAGAAATTGGGAAATACTATTAAAAAATAATGGCTTGAAACAATGGACATTGAAGAAAATTTCCCTAATTTCCAAAGGAAAATTAAAATGTAGCATTTAAAACCTAGGTACAAACCAAATGACAAATGTACTCAAAAGAAGATGAATTAGTAAAAAAAAAAAAAAAAAAAGTTGTATTAAAAAGACATAGAATTTCTAGAATGTTACCTAATAAATGGCACCCTTAGGTCATTCATAGAATGAAGAGGTGCATATTCTCCTTGCTCATCCCACCACTTGTGAGCCAGGGCCTGGAAAGTTTTTAATTCATTGCTGTCTACGGTGGTTTGTGAAGTACTGTACAGGCTTATCCCAGGGTACCTAAGGGGTCAAAAGGAAGAGCCAGGAAAATACTAGTGTTCTTAAAAATGTAACATTGGATAAACAATGTATAAAGATAATCTTATTTACAATTTATTAGATTCTAAATATATATATCTGTCGGTGTGAACGCTTTAATTAAAGTTTTCTTGCAATCACACTGCTTATAATTATGCAGATTCACAGATGAAACAATATTAGGTTGCTTTTAAAGCAAGTTACAACTAAAACAGAACTTTATAAAACTTGGCCTTATGCATTATATCTAATAATAATAATAACAGTAATATGAATAGGAATAATAATGTAAAAAGAAATACTAAATGCCATCAAATTGACTTCAACTCACGGCAATCCATTTGCGTCAGAACAGAACTATACTCTGTAGGGTTTTCAATGGCTGACTTTTCATAAGTAGATCACCAGACTTTTCTTCCAAGGCACCTCTGGGTGGCTGGAACCTCCCATTTTTCCTGTTAGCAGCCAAGTGTGCTAACCATTTTTATCAACTGAGGGCTCCAATAATAATAGTAATGTAAAACCCAAACCCACTGCCGTCAAGTTGATTCTGATTCATAGCGACCCTACAGGACAGAGCAGAACTGCCCCATAGGGTTTCCAAGGTGTAAATCTTTACAGAAGCAGCCTGCCTCATATTTCTTCCGCAGAGCAGCTGGTGGGTTTGAGCCGCCAAACTTTGGTTAGTAGCCCAATGCTGTAACCACAGTGTCACCAGAGCTCCTGATAATGATAACAGCTACTGAAGAGCTTCACATATATCATCTTATTCCATTCTCCTAGCAACTCTATGACATAGGTACTATTATCATCTCAATTTTATGGGCAAGAAAATGGAAGCCCAGAGAAATCTAGTAAGTGGTAGAATTAGGATTTGAACCCAGTTGTTTCCATCTTCTTTCTACTTCTACTGCCATCACCCTTGTCCTAGCTCCCATCATCTCTTGCCTCAGCTCTTATGCCAGTCTTCTAATTAACCTGGCTGCTTCCTGCCTCATCTTCCTCCAATCTATTCTCTGTGATGTACCCAGAGTGATCATACTGAAATAACATTTTGATTTTACTTTCCTGTTTCAAATGTTTCCATGTTTTCCCAGTGCCCTTAGGGAAAATACCAAGATCTTTGGCATGGCTTTTAAAGTTCTGAATTATTTAGTCCCATATTTGTTCCCTCTCTACACCAGAGCTTCAAACTAGTTATTCCCAGTTGAGTCATAGTGGATGAAGTGAAAGAGGGACAGATCGGAATTTGCAAAATGTGGGTGCCTGGAACAAAAGCAGAAAAGGGAAAATTATGTATCGATACCCTGATAGAAACTTAATCTCTCTCTTAGAAAACATAGGCAGCATGTACACTCTGTAGCAACCAAATCTCTTTCTTGGCAGAGTCAGAAACAACAATGTCCTGCTCAAAGATGGCAACCAATCAAGCCATTTTGAATATGTGTTATTCTCCACAATCCAGGTAATAATCCAATCTCCTGCTTCCGGGTCCTGAAAAGGCTCACAATGCCACTTCTAAATTTCCCAGTCTAGGACTGAGACCCATAATTTTCCCCATTCTGGTTATCATTCAGGCATCCATATATATACATATAATTTTTAAAAATTTTTATTGTGATTTGGGTGAAAGTTTACAAACCAAATTAATTTTCCATACAGCAGTTCACATACACTTTGTCTCATGACATTGATTGCAATTTCCCACAATGCAACAGCTCCCCTCCCACTTCCTCCCCATAGTTAGTTATCTCTTCCCTGTGTCCTTCCCTCCCAGGCACTTCTGCCCCTAGAGCTGTCTCCCTCAGTATACACAGCCCCTCTATTCTCCCATGATTGATCTTTCCAAGGTGTGTATCTACCTAAAATAAATGTTCGGTCATATGCCTGTCTTTTGTTTGGCTGGCAGCCACAGGTTGTTGTTGTTATTATGTGCCGTCTAGTCAGACCTGACTCATCGCAACCCCTCCTTGGGTTTCCGAGGCAGTTATCACTACAGAAGTAGATTGGCCAACCTTCCTTCTGAGGAGTGGCTGATGGGTTTGAACTGCCAGCCTTCTAGTTAGCAGTCAAGTGCTTTAGGCACTATGCTACCAGAGCCCCTGGTGGCCACAGAAGTGGGTTCAATTCCAGACTTGAAGGGCAGCTAGGGGCCATAGTCCCAGGGGTTCTACCAGACTCTATCACACCAGCAAACCCGGTCGCTTTTTTTTTTTTTTTTTATGATTTTGAGCTGTGTTCCACATTGTTCCCCCACTCTATCCAGAATCTCCGCTTCCTAGTGGGTGACAGTGGTAGCCGAGCACCATCTAGTTATTCTGGTCTCATAGTTGTATAGCAGGCATCCACGTTTTGCAAATTTAGATCCATCCAAGTTTTGCTTCACTGACCATGACTGAATTGGTTCAAACTAGTTCTAAGCCCTGCTCTAAATTCATCTTCCACTAGCCTCCTCATCCTCCCACTCCAGCCATGCAGGCCTTCTTTCAGTTCTTTGAAGTGGTCATGTGGCCTCCCTCCTCAAGCACTTTGCATATGTCATTCCCTTTCCCTAAAACATTCTTTCCATTTTCTCTCTCTGCCTTCCACACACATCTAATTAATTCTCATCCTTCAGATCTCAGCTTAAATGGAATGTTATCTAACAAGTCTTCCCTGAATCACAACTGGATCATGTTCCCCTATTTTAACTCACATACCACTTTGTACTTCTAAATGGGGCCGTGTTATTATTTGGTCATGTCTGCCTCCCCACTGGACCATAAACACTATGAGAGTAAGCAGGGATTATCTCTCTCACCATTATATTCCAAATGACTAGCATAGTTCCTGGAACATGGTCAATACTCCAGAAACATTTCTCAAATCAGTAATGTGAATGAAAAAGTCCAGGAAAGTATATATACACATTAAAAAAAATTTTTTTAATCAAATGGGATCAAGATCAAATAGGAATTAAACAAGGATCAGATAGGTCCCACACCAAGTTCTACTGCACAGTACATTATGGAAAATCCTCCAAAGTTCTACTTGGGTAAAAGAAAATGTTGTTAAGTTATGAAAGGTAATGCTATTCAAATTTTTGCTTTTCCTTAGCTATATTCTATACTCATTACTTTTTAACCTCTTAAGATTGAAATGTTACTTTTCTTTTTCATTGTGGTAAATATGTATGTAACAAAACATTTATCACTCTTCTTTGACATTAATACTATGAATATTACCCTTCTTTGTCATGCTTAATGCAAAGCCTCAGTGATCGAGGACTAACTTACAATAGCTAACAGTAAGTTGTTGCTCAGTTAACTATGATGAATGATTGCACACATCCAATCTCAAAGGAGCTTGTTTAAGACAAAAGTAAGAAGCCTGTACTTGGAAAACAGCTGACATCTCAACACTTTGCTATATTTTTCACAAGGTTAAAATTAGTTTATAAAATACAAATACAAAAAGACATTATTTTGGCTCAATGTTACTGCCTAGAATGTACCCTTATCCCCCTCACCATATTTACGCTGCACCTAACAAGAACAGCATTATTTGTGCCCTGTCATAAGGATATTATGAGGAAATAAAAGTACTTTTCCAAGCAATATGATTTTTCTATTAAAAATAAAAGTCATCTCTGAATTTATATGTACTGGATGGACACTGTATTATTCTATCAACTTCTACGGGCTTGAACTTTTTCAAATTTATAAGCTGTTGAAAAATACTTTAGATGTAAAATCAACCTTAAAGCACATGAGCTATTACATCCTGACAGGATGTATTAAACACAATCATTACTAAACTATTTCATATAATTCTGTAAATGTTTACCATAGTTAAATATACTCACCAATAACTTCTCATTTTATTCAAACAGGCAAAGGTCATCTTATATGACTTCAACTTCTTGGATCTATATTCATTGGAAACCCATGGTTTAATTTGTAGAGTCCAACTGAGCTGATTCTCTGAATAAATTGAATAAAAATTATATGTACCTATAATTTTAAGTATATGAATCCCTGATATGAAAATAACTGAAGTTACTATTTTACATGGCAATCTAATGTTATACTATGATTGAAACACATAGGAGGTTACCCCTTAATTTGGGATTTTACTCTAAAAAATAAAATAAAGATCTTACATTCTGCCATCTTACTCTAATCAGGTATTTCTGAAATTATAATTACTAAAAATAATTAATGCATAAATAAAATTTTTATGACATCAGTTTTTGCAACCATATTGTACTGTACAAAATTGTAAAAAACGCTATTCCAATAAAAACTACATTATCTCTTAAACTAGGGTAATAATAATTCTGAGATTATTTGTAAAAACCAGTTCAAATTCTGTCAATTGCATGTTAGCTACATGAAGTGGACTTACATATATATCAATCAATATCCTTTACAAAAGGGAAGAAATTATCTATATATAAAAAACCACATACACATACATATACACATCTTAGAATCCACACTCACCCTGTCTGTGTTCAAACTAACATAGGAACTTGTTTTATGAACAGGCTACTCTGCTGCAGAACATTCGTTTATTAGTTAACATTTACACAAAGTAGACTTCAGAACAAAGAAAATTATCAGGGACAAAGAGGAACATTACAACTAAAAGAAAAATCCACCAAGACAAAGCCATCTTACATGTGTATACACCAAACAACAGGAGCTCTGGTAGCGTAGTGCCTAAAGGCACATGACTGCTAACCAGAAGGCTGGCGGTTCAAACCCTCCAGCCACTCCTTGGAAGGAAGATGGGGCAATCCACTTCTGTAGTGATACTGCCTCGGAAACCCAAGAAGGGGTCGCTATGAGTCAGGTCCGACTCGATGCCACATAACAACAACAACAACAAACAATAAAATATCAAAACATATGCAGCAAAGATCTGACAGAACTGAAAGGAGAAGTAGACACATCCACAATTTTAGTTGGGGACTTTATCATCACTCTCTAGTAATTGATAGAATCACTAGACAGAAAATTAGTAAAGAAACAGAAGAACTAAACAACACGATCGACCAATAGGGAGCTCTGGTGGCACAGTGCCTGAGGCATGTGACTGCTAACCAGAAGCCTGGTGGTTCAAATCCACCAGCCACTCCTCAAAAGGAAGGTTGGGCAATCTACTTCCACAGTGATAGTACCTCGGAAACCCAAGGAGAGGTCACTATGAGTTGGATCCCACTTGACAGCAGTGAGTTTGGTTTTTTTGGTTATCAACCAATAAGATCTAATTGAAAGTTGTAAAACACTCTACCCAAACAATAACAATATACATGACTATACATGACTATAATGGAATCAAACTAGAAATAAATACCAGAAAGATACTACAAAAGGCTTCAAACACTTGGAAATAAAACAACACACTTCCAAACAATCCATGAGTCAAAGAGAAAGCTCATATATTAAAAAATATACTGAACTAGATTAAAATGAAAATACTATATATAAAAATCTGTAGGATGCAGCTAAAGCAATATACTTAGAAATTTATAGAACTAGATATTTATATTAGAGAACAAGGAAGATATCAAATCAACAATCTAAGCTTCAACCTCAAGAAACAAGAAAAGAGAGGACTTCCAGCAAGATGGCAGAATAGGCAGACAAGAGACAGACCCTATCTAACAAAGAAACAAGAAACCAGTTGAAACAGATACAGAAGATAATCCTGGAACTTGGAGCTTCAAAGGGAAAGATAAAGAAGTGGATTAAATACTAACTAGTAGAAGAAACTGAATGAAAACATGAATAGGGAGAAAAATGGAGCTGTGGACTATCGACTGGCCCAGTGGCACAGCCATTTTGAATATTTGCAAGCAGCATTCCAATTCAGGCAAGAATCTAATAATTGGCTTCACTTGCTGAGGACTGCATGGGCAACCACACTGGTGGCTGATGACCAGAAAGGTTTAATATTCTCCTTGTTCCCTTTGTACAATCCCACACTCTCCCAGTGAACCGAAGTGTGCCCACCCCCCACCCCCACCCACCTTCTAGACCAGTAGGAATTCCATGAAGGATTGGTGCCCTGCCACCAGCTGCCTTCTGGGAAGGCAAGAACTGGTCCCAGGACTAGAAGCCCTACTCCCAGCCATGTTTTCAGGCCAGTAGGAACTTCTTCTGAGACCAAGCACCTACACCCAGCCACCTTTTGAGCCAGCAGGAACTTTTTCTGGGACTGGAGCCCTGCATCCAGTTGCCTTTTGAGCCAGCAAGAACTCCCTCTAGAACCAAGTGCCTTGGTCTTAATTGCCTTTTGGGCTGGCAGAACTTTTTCTGGGTCAAGACACCTAGGTCAGCAGGAACTTGTCTGGGATGAGGTACCCTGCTCCCAGTTGCCTTCTGGGTAGATAGGAAATAGTTGCAAGATCAGCCACCCTACTCCCAGCCACCTTTTATGCTGGCAGGAGCTTTTTCTGGAACCAGATGCCCTGGCCCCAGACATCTTCTGGGTCAAGAGGAACTCATCTGGGATCAGGAGTCCTGTCCCCAGTTGTCTTCTGAATAGGCAGGAACCAGTGTCAGAACTAAGTACCCTGCTCCCACCACCTGCTTTGGCACAAGAAACAGTGCATGTGTGCTCTACATCCCCAGTTTTCTTGTCTTTTAATAATTCTTTTTTTCCTTTCTTTTCCCTCCCTGGTTCTTGTTTTTATTTTTTCCTTTTCCTAATTTTCTTCTTCTTTTTCCCATCCCTTGTTTTTCTTTTTAGATTTTTCTTCTCTGTTCTTTTTCTCTTGCTCTCTTTTCTTTTTTTCCCATTCCCATATATTGGGTCTTTTTCTTTTTCTCTTTGCACTTCTTTTTTCTTTGTAATGTTGTTTGTGCTTTTTGTTCTTTTGCTTTTATTTGGAGCTCTGGTGGTGTAGTGCCTAAGGCATTTGACTGCTGACCAGAAAGTTGGAGGTTCAAACCCCCAGCCACTCTGCAGAAGGAAGACTGGGTAATCTACTTTTGTCAAGATTTACTGCCTCAGAAACCAAATGGGGGTCACTATGAGTCAGAATTGACTCACTGGCAGTGAGTTTGGTTTGGTTTGTTTTTATTTTTCAATTTTTTAATTTTTTTCAGTCCCACATGGTGGGAAACAGTAACCATGCCCACATGACCCAACCACATCAATACTCCTACAGCCCCACCCACTGGGCAAAGGCCCCCACCTGCTTCTTTACCAAATGATCAATGATAAGACAGCAGCCAATACCAGCCCAACCCACCCTTAACTGCTCTATACCACCAGCTAACAGAGATCCATGTACATATTCCCATCCTCTATCATACCCAACAGGAAACAGATGGTGAGTGCCTAAGTGCTGCTAAACTAACAAAGAGAATAGCACACTAGCCCTGCTTGCTTGGATATACCAAAATAAAGTTTAAAAAAAAACACAAAAAACTGGGTGAATCACACTAAAATACAATCACAAATTAAATTTAATATAACAATATCACTATGTCTTCAAGACAATTGATAATCCCAATTCACATAAAGAAACAAGAAAAAGTAGTACAAACAAGGTTTGAGAATACAGAGCCAGAAAACCTCTCTGAGGAAGAAGTAATATTGGAACTACCTGATAAGGAATTACCTGATCATGGAGAACACTGACAAAATCAAGGAATACACTGAAAATTGATAAAAACACAGACAAAACTCTAGAAGAATTTAGGAAAACAATATAAGAACTGGCAAAATAAATGAAAAATTAGAAACCAAACAAAAACAGCAAGTAGAAACCTAGAAGATTAATACTAAGAATTCAGAAATAGATGATACATTGAAAGGACAAAGGAGTAGAATCTAATCAATGGAAGAGAGAATTAATGAAATTGAAGACAAATCCTCCCATATTACTTTGTTAGAAGTGTACTAAGAAAAAAGATTAACAACAATGGGGGGAGGAAGAAAAGGGGGAGGAAAAGGAGGGGAGAAGAAGAAGAAGCGGGAGGAGAGAGAGAAGGAAAAAGAAGAAGAAAGCCTAGGATTCATGTGGGACACCATCAAAAGGAATATCAGAAAAGGAAGAGACAAAGAGAAAATTGTTGAAGATTTGTTGGAAGAGAACTTCCTTAATATGATGAAAGACAAGAAGACATGCATTCAAAAAGTTCAATGAACCTCAAATAGGATAGGCGACAAAAGAAAATCACTAAGACATCTCATAATCAAACTTTCTAAAACTGAAGACAAAGAAAGAATCCTAAAAGTATCACAGGAAAAATGAAGTTACCTAAAAAGGGCAGCCAATAGGATGATGCTCTGATTTCTCAGCAGAAACCATGAAGGCAAGAAGGCAATGGGATGATATTCATAAAAACATGAAAGAATAATTGCCAACCAAGAATTACATACCCAGAGAAACTGTCCATAAAATATCAGGGTGAACTCAGGACATTTTCAGATGAAAAGAAAGTAAAAGAATGTTAAAAAACCAGGCCAATCATAAAGAGATGCTAAAGAGAGTCCTTCAGACAAAAAACCAACAACAGAAGACAACAACTAATGAATAAAATACATGACAACATAACCCAGAAAACAATACAGATACAGAAGTATCCAAAGTAAAATAAACTTACAAGACTGTAAACAGGGAACCAGAGCCATCAGTTGGTAAATGAGGACAAGTACAAAGCAAAAAAAACAGGAATAAATAGTGTAGGTATAGCACTACCAAATGGAAAGGAAGTCAAGATGATTTCACGATAGAATGGACGGTTTTAAACTTGGGAAGAAAATAATATATCACACAGGAACTTCAAAGAAAATTAATAAACTCCATCAAAATAAAAGAGAAGAAAGACAAAACTGTTCAGCAAATACTAAAACAGTATCAATGAAGGAAATGCTAAAGAAAAGTCACGAACAAAATGATCTTGGCACAGAATATTATACAGAAGAAATCAGCAACAACACAACAAAAACACATAACAAGATGAAAGCAATAAATTCATACTTGTTGATAATT